TCGCCACGTCGGCCAGGCTGTTGTGGAACTCCTGACCTCAAGTGATCTGCCTGCCTTGGCCTCCCAAAGTGCTGCGATTACAGGGGTGGGCCACCACGCCCAGCCCACTAATCAGTGTTCTCATCTAGGATACAGAGGGACATTCGTGGTTCTGAGGCAGAATGGAGAACCGTGGGCCACAGTCCTTGAGGGCGAGCACTTAGTATGTGCCGGGATCATTCCTCTGCGATCGGCTCCTTTCGCCTCACGCCCACCCTGTGAAGTACCTTTGTGTTTGCCCCCATTTTACAGATGAGACTGAGGTGGCAGAGTTGGATTTGAATCCAGGCAGCCTGGCACCAGGAGCCTCGAAAAGGCCATGCTCCACCCAAGGACCGGGAAGCAGGTTCTGAGATGGGTGCAGGTAGAGCATTCAGGAATCGGGTCCAGGGTCAGGAAGCAGATGGTTGAAGGCTGACAGGTGACGGGTGGAGCTGACGGTCAGGGCATGAGGACATCTCGGTTGAGGTTTTTAGGCTGGTGTGTTGGGTAGGTTTGGGTCTTTAAAGATGGCCAGTCTGTAATCCCAGCACTTTGGGAGGCCAAGGCGGGTGGATCACGAGGTCAAGAGATCGAGACCATCCTGGTCAACATGGTGAAACCCCGTCTCTACTAAAAATACAAAAAAAAAAGTACCTGGGCATGGTGGCACATGCCTGTAATCCCAGCTACTCAGGAGGCTGAGGCAGGAGAATTGCCTGAACCCAGGAGGCGGAGGTTGTGGTGAGCCGAGATCGCGCCATTGCACTCCAGCCTGGGTAACAAGAGCGAAACTCTGTCTCAAAAAAAAAAAAAAAAAAAAAAAGATGGCCAGTCATGGCTGGGTGCAGTGGCTCACACCTGTAATCCCAGCACTTTGGGAGACCAAGGCGGGTGGATCATCTGAGGTCAGGAGTTTGAGACCAGCCTGGCTAACATGATGAAACCCCGTTTCTACTAAAAATAAAAAGCCTGGTGTGGTGGCAGGCACCTGTAATCCCAGCTACTCGAGAGGATGAGAGGCAGGAGAATCGCTTAAACTCAGGAGGTGGAGGTAGCAGTGAGCTGAGATCTTGCCATTGCACTCCGGCTTGGGCAACAAGGGTGAAACTACATCTTAGGAAAAAGAAAAGAGATGGCCAGTCACACAGGCTTTCAGGGTGGGTGGATGGTGGTCTCCACTTGGCTCCAGCCTTCCAGAGTAGCAAATAGTGGGCAGGATGCCCCTCACTCCCACCAGAGCTTAGGTTGGATGTGGGAGAGTTTAAGTGTTCCCAGGCTAGGTGTGGCGGCTCACATCTGTAATCCCAGAGCTTTGGGAGGCTGAGGCAGGAGGGTTGCTTAAAGGTAGACCAGCTGGGGCAACATAGCGATACCCCATCTCTACAGCAAACTGAAAAATTAGTCAGGGTGGTGGCTTGTGTCTGTAATCCCAACACTTTGGGAGGCTGAGGTGGGCAGATCACAACATCAGGAGTTTAAGACCAGGCTGGACAATATGTATTCTACTTAAAATACAAAAACTTAGCTGGGTGTGGTAGCACGCGTCTCTAGTCCCAGCTACTCGAGAAGATGGGGCAGGAGAATTGGGCCGGGCATGGCGGCTCACGCCTGTAATCCCAGCACTTTGAAAGGCCAAGGCAGGTGGATACTGAGGTTAGCAGTTCAAGACCAGCCTGGCCAAGATGATTAAACCCCATCTTTACTAAAAATACAAAAAATTAGCTGGGCATGATGGCACACACTTGTAATCCCCGCTGCTCGGAAGGCTGAGGCAGAGAGAATTACTTAAACCCAGGAAATGGAGATAGCAGTGAGCCAGGATCACAGCCATTGTACTCCAGGCTGGGCAATAGAGTGAGACTCCATCTCAAAAAAAAAAAAAAAAAAAAAAAAAGAAAAGAAAAATTAGCCAGGTGTGGTGGTGTGTGCTCATAGTCCCAGCTACTTGACAGGCTGAGGCAGGAGGATTTATTGAGCCCAGGAGGTTGAGGCCACAGTGAGTTTTGATCATGCTACTGCACTCCAGCCTGGGCAATAGAGCAAAAACCCTGTCTCAAATAAAATGGGCCGGGCTGAGCTCAGTGGCTTATGCCTGTGATGCCAGCCTTTTGGGATGCTGATGCAGGCACATCACCTGAGGTCAGGAGTTCAAGACCAGCCCGACCAATGTGATGAAACCCTGTCTCTACTAAAAATACAAAACTTAGCCAGGTGTGGTGGCAGATGCCTGTAATCCCAGCTACTTGGGAGGCTGAGACAGGAGAACCGCTTGAACCCGGGAGGTGGACGTTGCAGTGAGCTGAGATCTCGCCCTTGCACTCCAGCCTGGGCAACGGAGCAAGACTCCATCTCTAAATAAATAAATAAATAAATAAATGAAATGTAAAAAAACGAAGTGTTCCCAGGACAGAGATGGGCTTTGGGCTTCCAGACTGAAGTGTGTCATCCGCTTTCCCATTGTGGCCTTAAGACACCCAACTATTCTGCTCCTCCCAGGACAGAATAGGGAGGTTGGATGGGAGATGTCTACACTGGCCCCAAGTTGCATTCAGCGTTTAGATTCAGATGTCAGTGCCACTGAGGAACTCTCTGGAACTGAGGACTTGCCACATGGCTGCTTAGACACCATTCCACCCATGTGTCCCTTCTCCCTCCTGCAGCCAAAGCCCCTTCTCAATATACATTGGAGGTGGGAGCGGGCCAAGCAGGGTTTGTAACAGTGGCTGCCTGTCTATTTGTGTAGACAGGGTCTATCTCTTGCCCAGGCTGGTCTCAGACTCCTGGCCTCTAGTGATCCACCCACCTCGGTCTCCCAAAGTACTGGGCCTACATGCATCAGCCACCACGCCCAGCTGAGTTGTTTCCTATCTCCAGTGTCCTGGAACACTCTAGAAAGCACCATCCGGCCGGGCATGGTGGCTTACGCCTGTAATCCAAGCACTTTGGAGGCCAAGGTGGGCAAATCACCTAAGGTTGGGAGTTCAAGACCAGCCTGACCAACATGGTGAAACCCCGTCTTATAAAAAAGTAAAAAAAAAAAAAGCAAGCACTATCCAATAGACCACTCAGCAAAGACAGGAGTGTTGTCTGTTTGCCCTATCTATTAAGATGGCCACTAGAGGCCGGGCGCGGTGGCTCACACCTGTAATCTCAGCACTTTGGGAGGCCGAGGCGGGCAGATCACTTTAGCCCAGGAGTTAGAGACCAGCCTGACCAACATGGTGAAACCCCGTCTCTACCAAAAATAAAAAAATTAGCCAGACATGGTGGCGGGCGCCTGTAGTCCTAGCTACTTGGGAGGCTGAGGCACAAGAATTGCTTGTGCCCAGGAAACAGAGGTTGCAGTGAGTAGAGATCCTGCCACTGTACTTCCAGCCTGGACGACAGAGCAAAACTCTGTCCACCCCCTCCCCCCCCAAAAAAAAAAAAAAAAGATAGTAGCCACATGTGACAACTGAGCTCTTGAAATGATGTGACTGAGGAACCGAGTTTTAAGTTTATTTATTTATTTTAAGATGAGGTTTCACTATGTTGGTCAAGCTGGTCTTGAACTCCCGGCCTCAGGTGATCCACCTGCCTTGGCCTCCAAAGTGCTTGGATTGCAGGCGTGAGCCACCGCACCCGGCTGATTTATTTTTTTGAGACAGTCTTGCCGTCACCCAGGCTGGAGTGCAGCGGCATGATCTTGGCTTACTGCAGTTTCTAGCTCCCAGACTCAAGTGATCCTCCTACCTCAGCCTCCCGAGTAGCTGGAACTATAGGCACGTGCCACCACACCCAGCTCATTTTTGTATTTTTAGTAGAGATGGGATCTCACTTTGTTGCCCTGGCTGGTCTTGAACTCCTGAGCTCAAGCGATCCGCCCACCTGGGCCTCCCAAAATGCTGGGATTACAGGCATAAGCCACTGCACCCAGCCAAATTTTATTTAATTTTAATTTTAATAGCCATATGTAGATTCTGCCTACTATGTTAAAGAGCACATGATTATTTTTTTCTTGAAGTCTTGCTCTGTTGCCCAGGCTGGAGTGCGGTGTCCAGATCTTGGCTCCTGCCTCAGCCTTTTGAGTAGTTGGGACTACAGGCATGCACCACCATGCCCAGTTAACTTTTGTGTTTGTAGTAGAGACAAGGTTTCATCATGTTAGTGAAGCTGGTCTCAAACTCCTGATCTCTTGATCTGCCCACCTCGGCCTCCCAAAGTGCTGGGATTACAGGAGTGAGCCACCATGCCTGGCTGAAGAGCACATTCTATAACTACAGGAAAAAAAAAAATTCCTTTACCAGACATTCAAAGTTTATCCTAAGAAAATACCCTCAAAAACAGAAAAGGGTGGACTCGCCCTGTTGACAGGGAAGTAGGGGTTCAAGCACTTGGTTCTGCTTTTAAAATTCTCCGTGTCGTGGGCCGGGCGCGGTGGCTCAAGCCTGTAATCCCAGCACTTTGGGAGGCCGAGGCGGGTGGATCACAAGGTCGAGAGATCGAGACCATCCTGGTCAACATGGTGAAACCCCGTCTCTACTAAAAATACAAAAAATTAGCTGGGCGTGGTGGCGCATGCCTGTAATCCCAGCTACTCGGGAGGCTGAGGCAGGAGAATTGCCTGAACCCAGGAGGTGGAGGTTGCGGTGAGCCGAGATCGCGCCATTGCACTCCAGCCTGGGTAACAAGAGCGAAACTCCGTCTCAAAAAAAAAAAAAAAAAAATTCTCCGTGTCCTTCCCAAGCGATGAGTTCTAGATCCGAGGGTTGTAGGTGGAGGGAGGCTTTATAACAGGTGTGCCCCGAATTCACTCACCTCCCCAGAGCTCATTCCCCCACCCTTTTTAAAAAAAAGAGTTTGGGTTGTCACTATGCTGCCCAGGCTGGTCTGAAACTCCTAGACTCAAGCAGTCCTCCCATTTCCGCCTCCCAAAGTTCTGGGACTACAGGAGTGAGCCACAGTGCCCGACCCTCATTACCTTTTTAGAAAGCAACTCCTGACTTTGGCAGTGACGTTTATTTTTCTGTGGGAGGGGAGTTATATACAGCAGTGACCAGGAGCCCCTCACCCCCACCAGGTTTAGGTGGGGACAGGCAGCATTGGCAGAAGGCACACAGTGGCAGTAGCCCAGAAGAGGCCAGGAGAAGTAAGGGTGGGGCGCGTGATGTGTCCTGGGAGACCCAGATGAGGAAACAGGCTCAGTGAGGGCCTCGGGCCACACAGCAAGGTGCGAAGGCAGCTGGTCCCAAGAGCTTGTGCCTGTTGCTTCTCTCTTGCCTGGGCTACAGGAGGACGCAGGGGCAGCCACCGCCCTTCTTCCTGGGGGCACTGGGAGGGGTGGGTGGGAGCTCTTGTTCCTGGTATTTCCTGTGGGAAAAGGCCAGTGAGTTTGGAGTGGAAGGGCGGGGGACAAGGACGACGGGAAGGGGACGAGGCTCACCGGACGGCCCGCACCAGCTGCTCAAAAGCCTCGTCCACGTTGAGACGCAGCTTGGCCGAGGCCTCAAAGTAGGGCACGTGGTGGGAAGCGCCAAAGGTCGATGCTTCCGATCGGGGCACCTGGGGGTGCGGGGGAGGGACACGGGGTCAGGTCCCTGCACTCAGGGTGACTGCAGCTGGAGAGACAGACAGGCAGGCTGGATCCTCTAGGGGAGGTGAACCACTGTGAGAACTCAAAGAGGAAGAGAGCCTGGAGGGAGATGCCGCAGGGGCTTGGTGTCCTCTAAGTGACGGATGGGGGCGGGCTTCGTGGCTTGCCCTTTGTGCCTTAGATAACCAGGAGTGGCAGAGAAGTCAGGGTGTTACCGGCAGAGGCCAGTGGAGACCCAAAGGCTGGAAATCCCCAAAGCCTGTGCCAAATGGATGAGTTCTGTGTGGAAATCACTGTCGGAGCGCGGGGAGGTGGTGGGAGCAGGGACCGGGGTTCAACTGTGCGGGGCATCTGGCACCCAGGGAGGAACTGGGGAGCCATGGAGGGGGCCGGCCATGGGCAGGGCGGGTACTGGGGCTGGTGGGAGGTTGGCTGGGAGGAGGTCGAGGGTGGAGGATGAGGCAAAGTGGGCTGGCAGGTGCGGGGCTGAACGGCCTTTGTTCCATCCAGCAGCCTCTCCTGAGGATACTGGGTGTGCTAGGCTCTCTGCTCGGTGATGCTAGGGACCCCGAAGGTCAGGTTTGGGGGTAACCCATCTAAGTGAGCCCTGTGACAGTGGCAGTCAAAGGACTGCAGGAACAGAGGAGGATACTGATGGACAGGTGCAGTGGAAGGAGGCTCCCAGGCTAAGATGAGGTCCCAACAAAGAGCGGTGTCCCGAACCTGGCGCTGTGCCTCCAGATCTGCCTTGTTCCCGACCAGCACGATGGGGAAGTCGTCGCGGTCCTTGACCCGGAGAATTTGTGTGAAGAGCTTGCCCACCTCGTTGAAACTGCAAGTGAAGCCGGAGGCAAGAGGTCCAGCCAGCTTCGGAGCCCAGTTCCTCCCCCGACCCCCCCCCCCATGCTCCGCCTCCAGCCACCCCTGTCACCTCTGCCGGTCGTTGATGGCGAACACCAGCAGGAAGCCATGGCCGGCACGCATGTACTGCTCTCTCATGGCCCCAAACTCCTCCTGGCCCGCGGTGTCCAGGACTGCAGAGACAGGGAGGGGGCCATCATGGGGACCGGGCTCCCCCCAGTCGCCCCCAAGAGCCCTCAGCCCCCGCTGGCACCACCCCCATCCATCATCCATCCCCTGCCGCCTCACTGTCCAGCCGGGCCGGGACGCCATCCACAGTGCAGATCTTCGTGTAGGAGTCCTCGATAGTGGGGTCGTAGTCAGACACGAAGTAGGACTGGCGGGGTAGGGAGAGGAAAGTTAGTACAGGGCCCCGGCAGGCAGGACAGACAGGGCGGAGCCCTGCCCCTGGCTGCCTCTCTAAGTCTCTGTCCCTCTCTCCCTCTAAGTGTCTTTCCCCATTGCTGGGTCTCTGCCCTCTTTTCTCTGGGTCTCTGAACCCTCTGTCTCTTTATTTCCCTCTTTCTGGGTCTCTGTCCCCTTCTCTTTGCGTATCTGCTCCCCTGCCCCACTCTCCCCACTGCCCCGCTCCTCACACTAGTCTTCTCTCTCAGTCACTCCTGGTTCTCTTTCCAGTATAAGGTACATGTCCCACATCCTGATTACATGCTAGCTGTGTGACATTGAACAAATCATTTCCCCTCTCTGAGCCTCAGTTTCCTCATTTGAAAAAGGAGGCTAACGGCCAGGCGTGGTGGCTCACACCTGTAATCCCAGCACTTTGGGAGGCCGAGGTGGGTGGCTCATGAGGTCAGGAGTTCAAGACCAGCCTGGCCAAAATGGTGAAACACCATCTCTACTAAAAAATAGAAAAATTGGCCGGGCATGGTGGCTCACGCCTGTAATCCAAGCACTTTGGAGGCCAAGGTGGGCGGATCATCCACCTGAAGTCGGGAGTTCAAGACCAGCCTGACCAACATGGTGAAACCCCGTCTTAAAAATATATATACACAGCCGGGCGCGGTGGCTCAAGCCTGTAATCCCAGCACTTTGGGAGGCCGAGGCGGGTGGATCACAAGGTCAAGAGATCGAGACCATCCTGGTCAACATGATGAAACCCCATCTCTACTAAAAATACAAAACATTAGCTGGACATGGTGGCGCGTGCCTGTAATCCCAGCTACTCAGGAGGCTGAGGCAGGAGAATTGCCTGAACCCAGGAGGCGGAGGTTGCAGTGAGCCGAGATCGCGCCATTGCACTCCAGCCTGGGTAACAAGAGTGAAACTCCGTCTCAAAAAAAAAAAAATACATATATATATATATATGCACACACACACACACACAAAAATAAGCCAAGTGCAGTGGCAGGAACCTGTAATCCCAGCTACTCGGGAAGCTGAGGCAGGAGAATCGCCTGAACCTGGGCGGCAGACATTGCAGTGAGCCGAGATCACACCACTACACTCCAGCCTGGGCAGCCTGGGTGACAAAGTGAGACTCCATCTCAAAAAGAAAAGAAAAGAAAAAAGGAAAAGGAGGCTAAGAACAGTACCACCTCTCATCCAGCATCGGGGAGGTTTGGAGCAAGTCCGGTTAAACACCGAACATGTCAGTTATGAGAGCTGCAGACTGCCTCTCTATGTCCCTCCCTCCTCCTCTGCCTCCTCCCCGTCCTCTTCCTCCTCCCCTGCCCCTCCTCCTCCTCAGGCGGCCTCCAGTGTCTCCTCCCAGGGGAAGGTCCCGGTTCCAATCCGGCTGCGGAGAGGCTGCCCCACCCTCGGGCCCGGGCCCCTCCCTTCCTGCCTGGGTCCTTCCCGCCTCCAGCCAGGCCTTTGGCCAGCTCTGGGACTGCCTCTGGGTGCAAGGGGCCCGGGGCAGGGGCCTTTCTCTACACAAGCAGGGCTCCCCTCCCAGCCCTTGCTGGGTCTCTTGGGTCAGGATGGGGGCGGGTCCTGGGTTCCCGGGCCTCTGCAGTAGCATCTCAGGTGCAGACAGTTTTTTTTAGGATTTCTTTGAAGTGGGGAAGACCTCCCTTGGGAATGGGGAGGAGGTTTCCTGGGCAGGGGTGGAATTTCAGGAAAGGGGGGGTGATTTGGTGGCTAGGGGTCTGAAGGCTGCATCTGTCAGTTATAAGGGTGCTTGTTCAGGCTTGTCCTGGAGGGACGCAGTAAGGACTAGGCCCTGGGAGGGATTGTTGGCTCTGCGGGTAGTTAGGGGCCTGACTTCAGAACACTGCCGGAGCAGCTCAGGGCTGAGAACTGGGGGCCAGCCTGGAGGTGGCTCAGGGGCGTTTGGGAGG